GTGGATGAGGATGTGGATGTGGATGTGGATGAGGAAGTGGATGAGGAAGTAAATGTGGAAGTGGAAGTAGAAGTAGAAGCCTGCGGCTGTGGAAGATTTGCGAAATGTGGTCGTCGTGGCGGGAGTTGCGAAATAATTAACCAAAGAATTAAAGCCGTCTCAGAGGGGAAAAGCTTCAAGTCCAACGAATTTTTTCTTTGTATGGCTGTTGCACTTAACCAACTCTCTTTTGTGTACCATCATATTATATCCTTTTGCATTCAAATTCCTTTCCATGCTATTTTTAATATGCAAAGTATGCATATATGGATTTTATTTTATTTCCTATAGCCCCGGCGCACATGATGTTTGCTTTCAGTTTCGCATCGCATCGAAGAATGCCTTTTGTGAGAGGCCTGATGCCCGTCTGGATCCCTTGTATTGACTCTCCATTCTCCGCTTTCCACTTTTTTTCCCTTCAGATGGTCATTAAAAATATGAAATTTCATGGGGGTACACACTCAGACACACACATACTGGGCACACCACTCAATGGAACACTTAAATGAATTACAGTTCTCAGCTGGGTTTTTTCATTTTTCTCGACTTTTTTTCTCCTTTTATTCATCGAAATCTGTTCGAATTGAATGGCTGGATGGACGGGGATAAAAAGAGAGAAAGATGGTAGGAGATTGGAATATGTTTTCGACCGATTCATGGGCGGCTATAATCCCGGGGAGCGGCAAACCGACATTGGACCTTGGCACTCCTCGTTTGCATTCTCCTTTTCACTGCCATTCGGCTGGAAATCTGGCCTTTTACCATCTGATGGGCTTATTTTATCCATTAGTTATGGGGTCTATATCAAAAATATTTATAAAAACCGAAATTAATTGAAATTCCTTGAACAATATCGAAATATTGCAATTTTTAATAAAATATATTTATCGACCAATTATCGTTCATTAATCGACGATGTTATCAAGTTACATCGATAAATATGGCCTTAATAAAACCAAATTTATCGATGTCATTTTATCGGACAAATAATAGTTCAAAGCAATCCAATTACCACTTCTCCTTCCCAATTGTCAGCACACAAACCTATCGATGATAAGGACCAGGAAATCCCATTGGGTATCTGACACAAAACAACAATAATGGAATGAATTTGAACTCCCCCATGACCACGCCCCCTCCAGAGACACACAAACACACACAAACACCTTTCAATGTCAGATGGCTGGGATGTTGGCTGCATTATTTGACGGCCATTGAAAAAGTTTGCCACAAATGAAATGGCCCAAAGGAGCTGTCAAATCTGCTGCGTTATAACATTTACTATGTTGGTGTTTTGGGGGGGGGCGGGTCACAAGGGTTAAGGGTAAAAGGCAGTAACACAAAGCGACGAGCAAAAGTTGCACAAAAATTGACAAAACATAAATAAAATATGGCGCAAACAATAAGGAAGATTTTTGTGTGCCGGGAGGGGAGTGGGTGGGTGGTTTTTGGAAAAGACATGTGACACAAACAGATGCCAGGTGGAAAATATTTTTTGGGTATGGCGGGAGGGGTGGGAACCCTGTCACAGTGACGTTAATATCGCCCGATAAGTATTGACACAAGTGGTGGAGTGGAAGAGTGCCGACAAATAAACAAACAAGCAAAATGATGAAAGAGCGACTGGCGATGGCAGGGTTGCCATCGTTATATAAGAGCAAGCCAACTGACAGAGTTGCCATCGTTATATATATATAATATATCCAATTGCCATTTTACAATGATGACGTAATTGATTTTTAAGCAAATACAAACACACTTTGTCAGTGAAAAAGAGAAAAGGACAGGCGCGGGGAATACAGAACAGAATAAGAAAAGATTTCCAAATAAATAAAGCGAAACGTGCAAACATCGATGACGACGAGTGCTTGTTGAAAACCTTAGCCTAGAACCCCTCCAAAAAAAAAGGGAAAAATGGTGGAAAAAAGGGGGAAAAAAGGCAGTAGACGAAAACCCCTAGTATATCAAGTAAAAAGCAAAGAAAGAAAACGAAGCTGTGGGTTTGGGGGGAAATGCTCCTCCAAAAGGGGAGCTACAAGCCCCCAGAAACGTGCCACGACTGCAGGTGAAACCCAGATGTACGTGTGTGTGCAGCCACTTTTGAGTGCTTGCACAACGGGCACGACTTTTCTTTATTTACACTTGCTCCTTACATCAACACACACACACTCAGTCGCAATAAAGATGCCGAAAAAAAGAGAAGAATCATCACTTGAAAAAAGTTATCATATGAAATACAGCCATTACCAATGAATTTTTTGGTTTCAGAAGGTCCAATAATATTATTTCATTTTATAAAACAGTTCAATTGGTTTCTAAACATATTTTTAAAACAAAATAAAATTCTCAGGCTAAAAACAAATATGATTTTTTTTGTATACCATTTTAGTCTTAACAGATTTAATAGTTTTACAATTTTTGGAACTATTAAATAGCATAGTTTTAGAGTAGTCATATATTCTTTTAATACATCTTTATTAAAAATACTTTTTTCCTCGCAGTGATCTAAAATAAAAATCCTGCCAACATCCTTGAAAGACAGAATGAGATAGGTGAACTTAAACAGTGATTGCAGCTCTTTATAAAATGCCTTAGCCCAACCATAATTCAAACACTTTTCCGACGAAAAGTAAGAAATTATCTGGAACGGTTCAAGGGTCAAGCCAGAGTCAAAAAAAACTTTGAACTTGAGTTGGGTCATTTAAACTGAATTTGAGTTTAAGTCCTTAACTTTTAAGACAATTTAAAGCTCTTTGCAAGATGTAGGTATCGGGGAGAATAACATTAAGATACAATTTATTTCCCCAGTTTTAAGTTAATAAAGGAATTTAAATTAAAATTCTTAAAATTTATAGGTCAAATATATAGAATAGGGACCTATCTTTTCTTGGAATATTTTTTAAGTCGATAACCCCAACTTTTCATAGCTTAAATTTTTCCGAAGCAATAAATGTTCCCCAAAATGTCAGCTCTCTAGAGGCCGAACCACATGCTTATAGCCTAATTGAATTAATTATTTATTATTGCCACGCCATTGCCAAACTTGTGTGTAATTGAATATTGAACATTTAAAGCCAAAAAGCCTAAGCCAACAACTTCTGCCTCGAAGCTGTGCTCGTGCATAGCATGCTCTATATATGTTTAATCATATATATGTATTTAGATACATATATATATATATATATATATACGTGGGTGTATTGTGTACGTGTATGTGCTGGTGCAAAAGCTTAGATTAGTCATTTGCATCTGCCACAACCAAATCCCCACAAGTCCATTTCCCCTCATTAAACACAATAAATCCTCTTTCGAAATGGACTTCATTGATTAGGACAACAACAATAGCCACTGCTGCAACAATAACGCCACAGCAGGAGCAACAACAACAACAACAGCCACGATCTATAAACAATTAGTCGAACAAAAGGTTTATATATTGAATGAAGATGAATTCGCCAGGGTGCTGAAAGGCCCAAAGTCAAAATCAAAATCAAAATCAAAATTGTTGCAACCATAAATGGGTGCGCTTGAAATAGTAATGATTCTGGTGTTAAAGGCTAAAAGCCTGACAACCTTGATTTAATTCAGTCACCAAGTTGGGTTAAATTTGGAAGATGATACGTTTTAGGAGACCTAAGTTAAATTATTATCTCGATTGGGGTGTATAAATGCTTGTCAATTGATTTTGGTTTGGAAAATTCATCATAATAGTTGGGAAATAAATTAAACAGATGGTAAGCATTAGTTTGATCTCTTAATTAAGATCACTAAATATATATCATTCATTTTCTTTATCATAAAGAACAGGAATCTTTTTAAATGGGGTTTATAATTAAATTATATAAAATTGAAGTTCCTAACCGGAAAAATTTAATCTCACTTACATTTATTTTAAAAAATCTTGTAACATAAAAAATCTAAGCTTTTAAAAAATGACAATTATTAAATTAAAAGCCATCAAATCAAATTATCTTAAATAAGTTAATTTTTTCGTCTCACAAAAAAATATCTCAAATGTGATGTCTTTATATTAAAGTACCAAAACTCAACTACATTTATTTTAAAAGTCTTGTATTAATCATCTAAAGCTTTTTAAAATGATCTTAAAATTTAAACTTTAAATTAAAAACCTACAAAGAAAACTCTCTTAAATAAGTTAATTTGTTTTTCCCACAAAAAAGAACTTAAATTAAAGATATAAGTCTCAAAACAAACCAAAAAAAGGCTAAATAAATCGATACTGAAACCGATGGAGATAATGATTTTGATGATGATTTCCTTAACACACACACACACTCACGCCAAACCCTTACACACGCACACAAACACACACTCTGTTGTTGTTGTTGTTATTGTTGTTGTTGTTGTTGGTATTGCTGTTTATGTGCTTGTTTTTATTACAATTGTTATCGCTCTGCTTCTTGTTCATATTCCCCAAATTCTATTTTCTGGACTTTTCTTTAGCTCATTTTGTTTCTCTTCTTCTCCTCTTTTTTTTGTAATATATTTTATTGTTGTTTTTATGCTTCAGCAAACACACGCACACCCGCACACACTCACAAGCAAGCAATCAAACAAATAAATACACGCACACACGCAAACGTTTCTCTTTTATTAGCATTTGTTTACATTTTTCTTGTACATGTATATGTTGTTACTTTATGTATATATTTTTTATCTTAATTTTTCACTTTAGCACACAGCAAAGAACAATAAAAAAATATTTGAAAAAAATTTGAAGCAAGGCGAATAAAAAATATTTTCGAATATTTGGATTGAGAACTATAAAAATTGCATAGCATTGCGATTTTTGTAGCACACTTTTTTGGGCGCGCGTTTACGAAGTCGTCGGCGTTTTCTTTTGTTTATGATTTGTGAGTTTTTTTCAGGGTTTTTTAATTGTTATATTATATTATATTAATTTATTTTAAATTTTTAATGGGTAGTTTTTGTAGGGCTACCTTTAGGGGTTTAACTCCTTTTGCATTTGCCGCTTGTTAGGTGTTTATTTTTTACTTTTTCTAATTTTTGTGGTTATATTTTGTACATTGACCTAATGTTTTTATGGTATATTATTTAGTTTTTTGGTTTGAAATTTTTTTGGAATATTTTTTGAATATTTTCGGTATTTTTTTGGCTGTTGTTGTTGGCTGTTTTTTTTCTCTTGGCTGTTATTTGGTATTTTTCTTGCTTTGTTTTGCTTTTAACCGTGCTCGACGACCGCTTTACGCCCGTATTGAAAACAGACTGCGGCGGCCAGCAGCGAGATTTATCCCATGAAGATAAGTGCTGCAGACGAGCGTTCGTTTTGCCGAGCAGAACCGAGCACGCACATAACACTCACACAGATACACACACACACAGAGAAATACGGCTAGATGGCGGGCAACATTGTGTTGTTGTGCTTTCTGTTCCATTTTCTTTTTGCAAACAGTCAGCATCCGCACTAATACCAATGCCATAGGGAAAGCCGAATGGCATTTGCATCGGAAAATCTCTTCTTCGGCTTTTCATCTCTTGTTTTCTCTCTCACATTTTCTCTCTTCTCACATACCGCTTCTTTAATTGTGGTGAAAAGGAAAAGCTTTAGAGTTTTGAGCAGGTGAAAATCGCTTGAAAATCGCGATTAAATGAGCTTGGCGATCATTTTTTAGCCGGCTGAAGAGAGTACTTTGTTAGTTTCTCCAAAATATACAATATACACACGTGTGCTTTATTGCATTTCCCAATTTGTGTGTTATTCTAGGAAATTATATTGTTAAAATAAAATATAAACAAATATTTTTCAACATTAACTTTCATATTTTAAGATATAAAAAAAAAATATATTCTTTTTTAGCTATGAATAATTTATTAGCAATAAATCAATGTTTAAATGAAAAATCTTTCTAGAAATGGTACATTAAAATATTCAGCAATACGAAGAAAAATTATTTTAACAAAAAAATATAACATTACAAGAAAATTAAAAACTATTTCTAAGAAAATTTGAAATTTTAGTATTTTTTATTCTGATTAAATATTTTTTATTATTCGAATTTTGGCATTTTGAATTTTAATTTATATTTTCCAACATATAAATATCTGTGGTAAATAGAAACAACTACTTGAATTTCCATTTGTCCGGCTTTTATTTCTCGGAAATCCCCTGCTGGCACTTTAGAACCATTTAAAACAATCAAATAAACCGAAAGCAAAACAAACCCCTCGCCCTGCCTTTTTCGTAACGCTCCCTTAAAACCTCAGACTCTCTTAATACTATGGTGGGTTCATATTTCAATTTAAGAGAGTTGGAAAAGCTTTTCTCAAAGCTATGCTTTTCGTCAGTTTTCCTTAGATTTTCCGGAGATGGACTGCAACAGTTACAGCGCTTGAACGCAAATCGAGAAAAAGAGATTCACCTAATGATGGCAGAATAATGGGTGGTTTAATGGGTATTTCGAGTGGCAGTCATTAAGCACAAATAAGACGCTGTGTGTGTGTGTGTGTTTTGGGGGGTAAAACACTACAGGACACACAGCTAATTTGAAGGAAATTAGGCAAACATTTAATGAAGTAATTAGGAAATTTTTGGTTCAGCTGCCCTTTTGCTTTTCCTTAGTTTTCCCATTGAAATGCCGCAAATTTGACACACTTCCTGTGCAAGAAAACTTACCATAAACGTTGATATGTATATCCCCCGAAAAAATATATAGATCCAAGACCCCCTTACATATTCATAGATTTCCCCGGGTGAAGAAACCGCACGAAACATCAAAGCGGATTTCACTTTTACACATCAATGTGTTCTTTTTCTGGCCAAGGAAAATTGCGTTTACTCACCTGAAAAGAAATAGAGTGGGGAAAAAAATACGTTAGACGGGTCGCAAAAAGTTTTCTTATTTTACACATATACTTATACTTAAATATATATATATATATATATAACGTGTTCTATTTTCTTTTTATTCCTGCAGACAAGACCTTTGCCCATTTACAATTTAAAAGGGGGGAAAGTTGGAGGCATCTTTGACATGAGTAAAGTGCAAAATTCTGTTGCATACTTTTTCGGGCCTCGAGTGTTGGGAATTTGCTGCAAATTGTTTTGGGTTAAAAGTAAGTGAATTCCACTAGTTAAACATAATCCTTGAGGATAGGAAAGAGATTTTCTTTGCAATTGAAGCACTTAAGGGAGATTTGTGGAATATAATTCTTATTTTAAGCGCTTAGGCTAGAGTAAATCAAGTACCTCAAAGGATTTAGAACAACATATTTTCGGAAAAGGATTTAAATTAAAAATTACAAGTTACAAGTTTTAAGATAGGTTCTTTCATAATAGCTATTAATATATTTATATTTTAGGTTGATCAATTTTTGTTTAAACTCATTTTCATGTTAGCTTTTGTCTAGGTTTTAATGTCTTGCAGAATGGTGACCCAAACCGAAAGTTTAAGAATACATAATATTATCAAATATAATCAGATTTTGGAATGTCCAACTTCTTATGTTTGCGATTACATTTTTTTAAATTCTGCTTTACAATTTTGACTCTTTAATATTAGAGTTTTCCAAATTTTGATTTATTAAAAATGGGTTTTGGTGACCTAAAGCATTAGTTTTTACCATACGTACCATGTATGATACCGCTACAATTAGTAAGTGAAACATCTAACCTAATGACCATAAGCTTAAAAAATAAACCGACAACAATTGTAAACTATTGAAGCCAAATCAAAACCGATTCTGTTTTTCTTGGCATTTGCCATTGTGCTGGCAATTGTGTTGCCTGGAATTGGCCATTTTATTGGAACTTTTGTTGGCCGCATCCACACGGGGCACAAAACTACCTGGGGAAAAGTATGAAAGGGGGGTGAAATCGCTACGGAAGTGGACTAAAGTTAGATTGATGATGTCTCAATAAACCCCATTAGGGGATTGCCATCGAGACCATCGACGACGACGACGACGACGACTACGACGACGACTGCAATATAATATCGCAAATGAATGGGGGCCCGCCCTTCGGTTTGGTTCGGTTATTGCTGGGCAGTTATATGCTTGGTTTATGGGTGGTATTTTGATGATTGTGCACCTGCTGTTGGCACAATTCAATGCTCTAATTGGTAGCAAAGTGGAATAAACTATTGACCATGGCTAAACTTTTCTCTCACTGCCCTCGGTTCTCAGTTCTCAGTTCTCAGTTCTCGATTCTCGGCTCTCGGCTTCTTTTGATGTTCGCAGGATGCGATGGTCTTCAAGAAAATGAATCACGAACCAACTAACTGTAAAAATTCATTATGTTCCTGAGCAGCAGGAAAAGAAAAAAACACAAGAAAGCTAAGGAAAATGCTTGGCGACAAAAAGTTTGTGTGACTGGAATTGAAATTCCTCTCTTCTGGCCAACAGACAAAACGGTTGGAAAATTCAGATACAGATACAAGATACAAGATGCAAGATACAAAGGTATTTTCATCATCATCATCTTCTTGTTGTCGACGTTCTCAGTCAAGTGTTAAAATCGATTAAATAAAAGTTTATTGCTAAATTTTGCTAACTGGCTAAGCTCAAAGTTTGCTCTTGGTTTTTTTTTTTTGCAGGTTAGTTTCATATTTCAGTGGCTTAATTTGCCCGCAGCGGAAAATTCGAAGGGGGGAAAAAGGGCGGCGAAAACTTAAAAAACAATTAGAAACTTTTCCCTCTCAGGCCACAATACTATACTATACTATATATATAGATTGCCAACTATCTGAGCTGGGGGTATCAATCCACTGGCTCAAAAGTCCCTTTCCACACCCCCTGAAAGCCACCACATAATTGGCCCTGCGATAACTTGAAAGTTGAAAACAAATTGAAATGCTCAAAGATTCAGTCACGATTTGAGAAAGCAAATTTGTGTGGGCTCTTGCAGAGGAAGGGTTATTTTTAAGGCCAACGGGAAAATATTAATTGGCCGTAACCATTTTTCGAGAAAAAATATTAAATGAGTTATAAACGGAAAACAAATTTATAGGTAGATAATTATCCTTTTGATATAATCAATAATAATTATTGTTTGATTATAAGAATTCGCATATTTATTTCTGTTATCTGTGAAAACAGAAATCAGTAAGGTATTGAAATCACATAAAAGGGTGCCTAAAAATAGGCAATCATTTTAAAGAACAAGCTTATTTTAGTGCCTACTTTTATACACCTTAATATGTTATTACTGTTTTACATCCTCTACATTTACCTAGTTATGATTAGGGGAACTACCTCTAAAATGAAATTCCATTCTTAATATTTAGCTAAGCCACACCTTCCATTTTATTAATTTCCTTGCCCCTTAATTATCAAAACTTTCTGGCCACGTGCTCCACCACTTCCAACTTTGACCCAAAGAAAAAAAGGGGAATGAGAGGGCAGGAAGACCAAATTTCAAATTAATATTACACAAGATTATTTTAACAACAAATTTTTGTTTCTGGTCTGTTCCTTTTATATTTGAATATTTTTTTCTGTTTGTCGGAAGCTTGAAGCGCACTTGAAATTAATGAAAAGCATTTTCGATTGTAATTATGTATTCGTGACTGGAGGGGCCCAAGAGGTATTTTCCTTTCTCTCGATTTTCAACCCCCCTCCATCGTTTGGCACTTATATATTCCCTGAGTTTCCCTGTTGCTTCAGATTTTGGCTCAGCTCATTAGGCATAATTCGAGCTCTCCCTCTCGCTTGCTCTGCTCTATCTCTGTCTCTCTTTCTCTCCGTTCCCCAAGCTCTAGTCCCGTCTCTTTCTTATTTTCCTCAATATAATACGGATGAGTTTATAGGGGGTTTCTGGGGGTCCGCATTTAATTGACTGTAAATTTGCTGCTCTTCAAAAGCTTCAACTACTCATTAAAATAAAACACAAAGAATACAACAAGCTTTAGATGAAAGGGGAGAGAACGAGGAATAGAAGGCATGGATAAAGTCTGATAGATTAATATTGAAACTTAATTTCTGGAATTTATATTAAATACCAAGTTCCTTAAGTTGTTCAACTTTACATTTATATTGCCTATTATTAATATTTTATTAATTTATTCAAAATAGATGGGTATATTAACATTTAGTATTAAAATCAATGAATACATTATGATACAAAGAAGAAAACATTTTTTATAATATTTTTGTTTCATTCTATTTTAATCAATTCCATATTTCCGAGTGAAACCATTTGTTTTCTGTGCACCTGGAAACAGATTACGCATACGCCCCGTATAGCCTTGGTGCTCAGGTTGTTTTGTTAATTGCATGAGAAATTGGGGATGTTAGAAATACAAATTTTTCGGCTTTTTTTTGGGGGGGAAG